CATTCCTTTCCACCCTCCCCACAACCAATAAACCTCAAAACCATCCTAAAAATCCCAACTAACCAACCACCACCTCCAACCCCCACCAAAACATCCACCAAACCACCCCTCAATACAACACCCATCCCCTATAAAACTTACCTTATACACCTACACCCTCCACCAAAACCTCCAAATCCCCCCCCCCCCTATCCACCACACCATCATCAAATCCCTCCCAACCCTCCCCCCTAAAAATCATCTCCAATCCCACCCTTACCCCTTATTAATTTCCTTCCTCTTTTCATTCCCCACCCAACACCCATCCCATACCCCCTCCATACCCCCAAACCCCCTTCCCCCCAATTGTTCACCCCCACCCTAAATATTACCCCCCCCACCCCCCCTTCAAAATATCCCACCCACCCCACAAATACCCCCCAATACCCCCCCCACCCCCATATTATAACCCTTCCCTCTCTCCCAAAACCACCCCCAAAATATCCCCAACCACAACCCCATACCCAACCCTTAACCCACATAACCCCCCCCCCCCCCCTCCCAACAACATATTTCCCCACCCCCCACCCAAATACCTCCCTCCCAAAAATCCCTAACAACCCCCTCAACCCCTCCCATACATATTCCCCCCAAACCCAAAAATTAATCACCCAAACCCCCCTTACATAACCCCTAATATCCCAATCTTCACCCCCCCCATAAAATCCACCCCTTAAAAATAAACAACACAACCTCCCCCCTTCCAAAATTCCTATACACCCAATCCATCCCATCCAAACCAACCCATCAACATCCATTCCCCCCCCCCTCCACTACCCCCCCCACCATACACATATAACCACCCTCACACACACACTCCAACTTCAAACACCCTTATCCACCACCCACCTTCTCCATCCACAACCACCCATATCCCAAAATCCCAAATACAACAAAATACCACACACCCCAAACACCCCAATACATATAAAACATCCACTCCCCACACCAACAAAACAAAACAAACCTTACCACAAACCCCTATACACCCACCCCCCATCACACCCCCCCCACACCACCCTACATCACTAATATCCCCATAATAAATCAAACCCCCCTAACCCTACCCTCCTCACCTAAAAATCAATTCACCCTCATTTTTCTTCTCTCCCTCTTCTCCCTCCCTCTTTCTCTCTCACCCCAACCTCTCACCCCTCACCACTCCCATCCACATCAACCTCACCCCCCCTCTCCCCCCCTTTCCACCCCCTCTCCCCTACCTCTCCCAAAACTCATACCCTCACATCAAACAAACTAATTCCCAACCCCACTTACAAAAATCCCCCCCTATAACATAATCCCCTTCCCAAATCTCTAATAATCCTTACCTCCAAACCTAACAAAACTCCCCCATTTACTTTATATACCTTACACCTATATACCTCAATCTCCCTTATTCTTCCACTCCCAACCCCAACTCTAAACACCCCCTAAACCCCAACCAATCTCCACCATATCCCCACACCCCCACCAAAACTCCCATCACCTATCAACAAAATACTCCCTCCACAATCCATAACCCTCCCCTACCACCCAATCCTCTACCCCCCCTCCCATCCCCACCAATCTTAAACCATCTAATATACCCCCCAATACAACCCCCCCCAAACCCCCTAACACCCAAATAAAACTTCCCCCCCCAAAAACACTCCCCAACCCCCCCCATACCCCAAAAATATAACCCATTTCCAAAACCCATTCTTAACCAATATATTCCCTCCCCAAATTCCCCCATACCCCCTCTCAATAATATCCCCAAAACCCTCACCCCCAATCAATCTTTCCTTACCCCTATACAATACCCTATCCTTCTCCCCCTCAAACCCCCCACTCCACCCCAAAACCCAACACCAAATCATCTCTCTCCTCCACATCTATAACCATATTACAATTATCCCCATTTCACTCACCTCATATCAAAAAACAAACCCCACTCCTCCCAAACCATACCCCCAATTTCCATTCACTCCCCACTCATTAGCCCCCTTCTTCCACATATCCCCCATAACCCCAACATTCTACACAAATACAACAAAACCTACACACATATAACCCTCTTCATATCTATCCCAAAAACTTCAAAAAACCCTAACACAAACCAAACCCCCTATTAACAAACCCCCCATCAAAACATAATCCCTCTCCCCCCATCCCCAAACCCCCCCCCCCAATTTACCCTCCCCCCCTACCCCCTAACCCAATCTCCACATCAATTCCCCCCCAACACCCAAAAAACCCCCCCCCCCCCCCCCCCCCAACAAAATCCACCACAAACTAACACTAAAACCACCCATACCCAACTACCCATAACCCCAACCATACAAAACCCCAACCACCCCAACTACCCACATTATCCCCAAAATTCACCATCCCCCACAAATCTTACCCCCCTCAACCAACCATCATACCCACCACCCCATCCTTCCCCTTTCTACCATCAAAATATACCCTCAACCACCCTTCATCTCAAATCCCTCCAACCCCATAACCCTCTCTTCTTCCACAAACAAAATTCCCCCTACATACATAACCCAATCCAAAAACCCCCCACCAACCATACCTCCTAACCTTCCCACCAAATAAACTCAAACCACCTTTCTATCAAATCAAAAAAACACTCACCCTCCCCATCTCCACCTAACCACCAAAATTCCTACACCCCCCATCCCCTCACCAAACACCAACCACAATAAAACCCCACCCCCCTAACTACCCCCACACCTCATCACTTCCTCCCCCTCCTATAGTCTCCAATCCCAACCATTTCCCCCCAACCCATCATAAATTATCCACCCCATAAAATCCATTTTCCCCCTCATCCACCCCACCAACTCCTTCCTCTTCACCTTCAATTATATCCTATAATCATTCCCCCCTTACCCCTACTATTCACCCTCCCTCCCTAATCATATTATCACACACACACCCTAACATCACTACACCTCACAACACTCTTTTCATACTAATTTTCTCATGAAAACACCCCATTTATACCCCCCCCACAATCCCATCCCCTCCACTCCATATCATCTACTACCCCCCCCCCAACCTCACACCCGCCCCCTACACTCATCTTCAAACATCCCCCCCCACATCTCCCAACCCCCACTTCTCCATCACCCACCTTCACCCCACATTCAATCCCAACCTATTCCATAACACATACACCAACAATCTTCCCCCCCCCTCCCTCCTCCTCCCCCCTCTATCCCCCACCCCTCCCCTCATCCCCCCCCTAACCCCATACCACCCTCTTCTTATACCCTATCCACATCTACCCACACCCCCCCCTCTCCCCCCATACCACCTTTCCCCTACACCTCCCATATTCATCTATTCCCCCCCCCCACAAATAAACCATCCAATTCCCATACCCCCACCCCCACCCCCTCTCACCCATTCAATCACAACCCTTCTCCCAACCCCCTCCCAAATTCAAATCCTTTTTCCCTTAACACCCCCCACATCCCCCCTAATCTTAAAATATCCCCCCTATCCCCAACACCCCTCACATCCTTCAACTCCTCATCTATTCCCCCTCCTATCCCTCTACATAACCCATTACTCACCCAAAAAATCATCTCCTTCTTCTACACATAACCCCCAACATACTTCCCCCCCCCCCCTTTAAAAAAAACCCCCATATTCTCCCCAACTATATCTTATAACAATAATTATAATCCTATCTCCCAACTAACCAAATACACCCCAACCCCATCAAACTCATTTATCTCTCCCCTTATCCAATAAAATCCCATATTTACATACACCCCCCATAACACCCAAAAAACCAACCCATACTCTTTCCTCCTATCTCACCTACAAATCCCATACCACAATTTCATCTCCCCCCATTCACCCTTTACCTCCCAATATTCTCTCCACTACCCCATTCATTCTACCCCCACATATTTTCTCCTCTCCCCTTCTCAATATTCTAATATCTCCTATCACTTATAACTCTCCTTCCAAAAATCCACAATCTAAATCCCCTAATCATCCTTAAAACCCCCCCACTCCGACATCCCCTCTTTCATCATATTCCGTAAAATACTATAAACCCAAATCCCATACCCCATAAATACCCCCCCTCCCCCACACCTCTCCCTCCCAACATCCATTACACCTCTCTCCTCCCACTACTCTATTCCCTCCCCCCAGCCCATTTTCCCTTCCATCCCCAAATTCCACTCTATCCTTCCCCACCCTATTTACCACCACCCCCCCCCCAATTCCAATACCTTACTTAACCAACCCAAAAACCCATCCCCACCCCAATCCTATAACAAAATATATCTAACAACAAAATCCACAAATATAACTCTCTATTCAAAACAACTAAAAAAAACTCCCCTAAACTATCCCCCCCAAAAACCCCCCAAATAACCAAACCCTCTTCCCACAACTCACCCAACCATACCCCTTCCATTCCCCAACCTCCAAAATCATCTCCACCATACACAATATCCAACACTTCACCTCTACCCCATACACCCAACACCTCACCCACACCCCAAACACACACCCCCCCCTTACATACCCTACACACAAAAAAACCCCCACTACCATACACCCAAAAACCCCCAAAAAATTATTATATCCTCCCTCAAAAAACCCTATCCCCCTTTCATTCCCAATTCCCACCCCCCCCCTTAATCCCCCATCATACTCTCACCTACATTACATCCTCCTACCCCTCATTCCCCCATCCATCCCCCTTAATAATACATATTACCTACATCCCAACCCAAAATTCATACCTCTTCATACAACATTCCACACACAACCCCCCCACAAAATAACCCTTTCCCTACCATCACAACCTCCCACTTTAACCCATCATCTATACTACCTTTCTCACCCCCCATTCCCCACCAAACCCCAACCACACATCACTTATCCCACATAAATTTCTCAAACCATAACCCACACCCCCACACCTACATTCCATTTAACACAATCTAAACAACCCCCTTATCTCCTCCCACCCAATCCAACCCCCCCCCCACAAAAACCACCCCCCACACCCCCCCCAACACCACCACAAAAAACACACAATACCAACACCACACAAACCCACAAACCCACACAACACCCCCAAAACACCACCACACCACCAACACAAACAAAACAAACACAACACCACACACAACAACCCCCACACACAACACACACCCACAACAACCAAAACACACCCCACAACACAACTCACACACCACAAACCCCACACACCACCACAACACACAACAAAACCCACCAACCACCCCCCACACCACACCCACCAAATCAACCACACACACCCCCTACCACACATTCACACACACCACACAACCACACCCACCAAACACCCCACACTCCCCAACACACACCAACACCCAACACACACAACCATACACACAACACCCCCCCTCACACCAACCCACACACACACCACCCCAACACACATCACAAACCCCCCCAACCACTCTCCCACCACACACACACATATACCCCTCCCAAGCCCCCCAAAAAAACAATACACACAAAAAAAAATCAAACACTCAACACAAAACCCACCCACCAATCCCAAAACCCAATCCCCCAAACCCACCCTTAAATAATTAACCATACAAAACCTATCAACAAGATCCCCACCACCATCCTCACCTTCCCCCCCTATTATCCACCACCCTCTCACCACACCCCATCCCCCCCTCTACCACTCCATACCCATTCCCAAACATCCCCATCTTTTCCTTTCCTCCCTATATTCCAAATATTTCCATTAACATAATAATCACAAAATTACCTCCAATAAATAAATACACACTATCCACCATCAGCTTATCATTAATAATAACCTATAAAAAATTCAAATTTCAAAAGACATTATAACAACCTAATACATCCTAAACATTCCCCACCCACTCCCAACATCTCAAATCCCCATTTAAAAACTAACTTACATCCACCCTACACTCACTTAACCCTCCACACCCCCCCTAACCCATCACCCTTTCACTTACCAACTAATCCACCCATAAATCCCCCATAATTACATACCCAAAACTCCTTTCATAAACTACATCTCCTCTATCCCCACTTTCCCCCCCCCCACCACCCCCCTCAACCTCCCCTTTAACAAACAATCCCTACATACCTCACTAATTAAAACCCCCAAATATATATTCTTATAATATTTAAAAATAAACCAACCTAACCAAACATAAATCATCCCCCCACCATAAACCAATCAGTCATCACAAACCAATTAACCAAACCAAAAAAATATTAAAATAAAATTTAATTTATCTATCAAAACCTATACACCAAATCAACATAACTCCCCTTTAACCCTATACACAACATCCCTTAAAAACTATCATAAAACATCATACCACCCTAAACCCACCCCAACCAAACCCATACCAACAACCCCCTAACGACCTTTCCAACCCATTCTAATCATCCCAACATCCCCACTAAAACATACAAAAAACCCCTTCCCCAATAACTACAACCACCACAACCCCCCAAACTCACATAACCCTTACCTTACACATCCCAACCTTCAAAATACATATTTAACCTCAATCACATTACATTCCCAACCACACACTTAATCCCACCACCTCCTAATAATATTAATCTTCTCTATTTATCATCAATACCCATCTTCCCCCCACACCACACTAGACTAACCACTACCTAAAACAAATACAAAAAGACAATACTAACAGACACCCCCTAAACATTTAATATCCCGCCCTTTATCTTAAATTGCCACCCACACCCCCATAAACCCAAACCTGTCCAAAATTATCCTACATATCCCTAACTAAAAAATAACCTATCAGTCTTCCTATTAATCCCAACACAAAACCATTCCAAATCAACACATATACCCTTAAACACAACTGCACAAATCTACCCATTACCGCCAAACCACCCCCCCCCCAAAACCCACAATACCATAAACTACACACCCCCTATAAAAACTCCTCCCATCACAATTAAAACCAAAAAATTCAACACACCATATCGATCTGAAATTCACCCCCACCCCCCCCCCCCCACCCACACAACACCAATTAAACCTCACTCTTCATACCTAAATCCTCAAGAATCCTATTCAGCGTTCATTTATTCTATATGTGAGTTACCTCTGATATCCCACACAACACACTAAACAGCCCTACTAACACTTATACCTGACCCATAGTCAACACAGGTATTGCAAAAACAAATCCCTATCCTGAAACATATAACAGTATAACACCCTTTACCACTATACTTACAGATACCATTCCATACACACAAAACCCATTACCCAATTACTCCTTTAATACACAAAATTACATAAATCCTTCCCCCTTTATAGTAACCACACTACCAACCATTCCAATGCCACTTCACTTTGAACCCCCACAACCAAGCCCCCACATCAGGTGTCTTTCCCTTAATAAACCCACCACATTATCCCTATCCCAAATTTCATCCCCATCACATCCCAAACTTATCCCACCCACTTCTTAACTCCACACCAATGACTGTAAAATATCCATTATATATTCGTTACACTTGGTTTCCTTAAGTGATATTTCTCAATTTATAATACTCCACATATTACCATATCCAGTCAAAATTATAAGACAATCCACTTACATCCACCTATGTCACACCCAAACCTCACATTCCCATCATTACCCATCCATACATATCATAACCAAAACCTAACAAACATCACAAAAACACTAAAACAAAAACCATAAACTATAGCAATAATATCTTTGTACACCTGTCTCCTATCTATCTCTAGGCTAGCATTTTATAAATATATCTCTAATTATCGAGATTCGATGCAATATCGTATCTCAGTATATGAAGATCCGATCAAGTCTATCAGGAATAGAGTCTCTGGAGCATGGCATCTATTGTATAATGTCTCTCTGATAGAGTGTCTGTCTCATCTAACTATATATGTTTTAGAAGGATCTAGATATAGGTATAGAGTAGTTCTAGTATCTGTAACTAGAGCTATCTCTTGTCTAGAAATATTGCCATTAGATCAGTGATAGATCTATAAACTATTTCAACGTCGATCTATCAAAATATTTATAGATGAGATAGTATTGCTATATAACTTTATATATGATCCCTACTCCCTCTCTCTAATTAACTCGTACAAGCGGCTCTTTGATTATCTAAGCAAAAATTAACTATCAAGCTCGATCCGAGTATATCTAACAAACGTATATAAAAGTCATATAGAGACCTCACTTTTTACATCTAAGATTTCCATGCTACCTATAATAAATCATATAGTGACGCCCGTCCTACTGAATAGATTAATACATTACTCCGTATCGCACCCAAACTGAAGTCCCAGATCATATAAGACAGTAATCCTAAGGTTCCTTTTTGATACACCCGTTCTCCACTCAGCATTTACTCGATGTGCTGTAATCGCCGTGACATCCCTTTGTACAACACCATAAAAGTGAAAAAATTAATCCTAATACCATCCTCGTTAAAAACCAAATTAGCAAACTCCCCATACAACCGGATGTTTCCAAAGGCATAATATCCTCTTTTTTTCTTCATCCCTCCGTTAATCTTTACATCATATTATTAACACCTTATAGATCCAATTACACTATAATTCACTTCACACATCTTTCGTCCCCCCTCCATGGCTACCATGTAAACCCATTTATACCTTATAATTTTACACCATTCATACAAACAGACCATACTACATGATTCAACTAAATATATAACGAATCATCCACCTTTAAACCTCTATATACTCTTACTTCCTATATCACAATCACCATATAAATCACAACCACCCTTCCACAGTCCTTCCTATACATTAAATGTGTAATTAAACAATATCACGAAACCAATACACAATAGGATAGTGTCATAAATACGTGTCTCCACACATATACTGACAAAAAACTAACATAAAATCCCACACTACCCCCACAAGTTCACAAACATACATCCCAACAAAGTAACATTCAAATTTTCGATCATTGTAACAATGTATTAACATCCTGATTAAACCCAACCCCTTCTTAAAGTAATCGTTCCCCTTCGGACAGCCCTCTGATACCCAGGTTCTTCGTTCCTCAATATCTGTGGACTAGACCACATCCTACTGTTCATCTCACGTACCCATTTCAGTCATAGCTGAAACTCGCTCTCATTATTATCCAACCAAATTCCCATTCAAATTTACCCCACAACACCTCGGCCCGCATTCCCGTTTCCTATCTTCTTAATATAATCACATTACCAACCCTGCAACAACTATACAACCTTCACAAACACATTCCAACACCCTCTCCCCCCCACCGCACAAGTACTCCTCTCCCTCACAAAATAATGACTCATCACTATATCCCCATACTCTCCACCCTTCTTCCATAGCCTTTGACTGTGCACACAATTATCCTTATCCCCGAAAAATCCCACACATCATCAACACCTTCAAACCCCATAACAACATTATCCCACCCCCTAACCCCCACTCCCTCTCACTACCCCCTTCAATTCCTTAACAAATAACTTCCCCCTAATACTCCAATACCCTTCCCCCACCTCCAACACCTCTTCCCCCTACAAATTTCCTCTTCCCTGTTAATAACACAGAACACCATACAATCCCACTATCCCCATATCTCCACACCCACCAATCTCATCCGCCTTCACAACATCATTCCCTAATAATTCCCCCTCTCCTCTAATAATCCCCTATCCAAAACATGTCTTCCAATTATCCCAAATAAACCCCCCCCCCATATTACCATTAATAATATGACCTCCCAATACCCCAACCCCCCCACCACCCCAATTATATACATACACTATCATTAACTAAAACCCTAAATGCATCTATATTATATTAATTCCCATCCCACTAACCAAACCCCCCCCCTAGGCCACACCTCCCACACACTTTTATCAACACCAATTAACCCATTAATCCCATTCTTCCTCATCTATACATTTTCAACAACTTCCAAACCACCACATTAAACCCCATATCCATAAAAACCATACAATCTAAAAACCCCCACAAATCATCCATTCAAACAAAATAACCACCCTCTTAACTCCAAACCCCAACCCCAACCATCCCTCCCCACTTACACATCCCAATCATCCTACACAACTCAATTCCAAACACCTATATTACCCTCCACCACCCTCCATTAAAACAAAAACAACAAATTTATATCTCACCTCATCCCCTAAAACTCACATAACATCCCCAATAAACCCCTCTCTAACTACCCTACCCCCTCCCAACCCACCACACAACACAAATCTCTATACCTTCACAAAACCCATACAACTCTATCCAAAAAACCACCACCTATTCCAAAATACCCCACCACACTTACCCCCACCCCCCCCACTTCACCAAACTACACCTAATATTCAACCCACTAAAACCCTAACAACACCCAATCACCCCCACCACCACCTTTAAAAAATCCCTTTCCAAACCCTACCCCCCCCATTCTATTATCAACCATCTCCATCATTCTTATTTTTCCTAATCCCAAATCTTTATCCACATCTCTTACATCACCCCTCACCATCCTTATTACCATCCCCTCTTCATCCACCATAACACACTTATCATCACACACCAACCCACCCCACCCACACCAAATTCCCACACCCCCCCCCTGACTTACATCCCCCATCTTACCACATATAAAATCCAAGCACC